CAGGAGACAAATCACCCACATCAGACATGCAGGTTTTAGCATGCATTTATTGTTGAACGCGTATCACGTCCGAACCAGACACTTCACACACGTGATGGCGTGCTGAGTTGGCTGTGCTAACCACTCTCGATCTACCGACCGCCTCAGTTGTTAAAATCAGCAATTGCGGGCGCCATACGAAACACAACAGCAGACATCTCCAGCCAATTGTCAGACTGACCTTGCACAACAGGCCATATTTAATGAGAGGTGGCCTGCCCAAGATGAGCGAGGTTTGATCTCTAGACTACAATGTCACCTCTCGAGTATTGACCCTCGTTCACTGACCCACTTTCACCGATTCCGCCACATTTACATTATTGTCGCCGATGGGTGAATAGACCAACGTGCCTTAATCAACTCCAACATTCTCACCACCCTCGGGACGTTGCGAGGTGTTCTGTATCACAAGAAATCAGTAGCGGCTTCCATCCCCAGACTAGACTCAGCAAGAACAGCGACATCTACACACTGCAAGGCGTCGCCCTTATAGGCCTGTCAATGCACCTACCTACCTACTGCAGTGACCCTACTCCAACAATGAAGCTATTCACTTGGTTGAAGCAGAACTACCAAAACTGAAGAAGACACCACGGGAGTCCTCGATTTTGTCTCGGCAGGTAGGTACTTTTACAAGAGCAATTTGGTTTGGTCAATTCATGTAACATTAAGCCGATTGTGGTTTTGGTTGAGCAGCAAGCAGGAAGCACCTCCACAAGTGAGCGCTTAGGCGAATCAGACAATTCCACGTTAATACTAGAAAGTTCGACAGCAAAAATTCGCGTTTTCGTGCCTTAAATGTGCACGCCAATTTATAAACCCTTTTAAAATTCGCAAAAAGCAGATCCATTTGCATCTTCCAGGCTCTTAAAGTTGGGTTGAACGTTGGCACAACTTCTACTAGATATTTAGGCATTGCTGCCACGTCTCAAACTATTTCGTCAAATTAGTCAGTTTTTGTTAGTCATTTGAAAGTGGGTATAGGTGCATTTGTTGCCATTATGGCGTCAAAACAACGCTAACAATAGGTTAACATAGTTCCAAGGCGGGAATAACGAGATAACGTCAAGAAATTTTAACATCACGGGCAAAAACCAGTGCAAATGTGCTAAAAATAACCAGAGCAAAAGCTAACATTTTTTAAGGAAACAAGTATTAGAGATAATGAGGACTTTGAGAGTTTCGAAAGTAGTTGTTTGATAGTTCCCTCGAACTGTCCTTATTGTCAAATATGCCCATGTCATTTCTATTTTTAGCAAATAAGTACTTTTGATATCAAATGCGTTAAACGTATACTTTGTTTATGCCCACACACATCCTTAAGAATCGAGTTCAAATACGAAAGAAGACGCACGTGACCGACCGTTTGGATTTAGCGAGAGAACCAGACATCTGAACAGCCATCCGGGACACTTACTATCGTTTGTCTTAAGTGACATGCGAAATATGCCCCAATGTTGGTCAAGGTTTTAAAGGTAATGTATTCAAAATACAATCAATATATAAAAGAAATTATGAACTATGAAAGTAATTTAATTTGAACCACAAAACATTCGCTTCTAACGTCTTAACCCGGAAATCAATTTAACGAAAATCGGCACCAATTCGGATCAGTCAAGGTCATTATCTCCGACTTGAGTCTAGGCCGATTCTTTAAGGCATTGTCTAGCAGATTTTAGCCTGAAGTACAGTCGAAGTGAAGTGTAAATTTCACTGCCTAGCGTCCCGAAAGCAGGAATGACGAGAAGCATTTCATGGTCGGGAAAGGCGGTTAAGTTTTCCATAAGTCATGGGATGAAACCACGACGTGTGGAAATGAGAAGAGGTCAGTTAAATGGAATAAAAGAAGGGAAGGAAAGGGCATTATTTAAAGCAGCACTAAAGTAGAAGACGCATGATTGAAAGCTAGAAGTTTTTGAACACGGAAAAATTACCTTTAGACAGCCCGACCATGCTGTATTTGGCAGTTGTTTTATTAAGTGGCCAGAGAAACCAAATAGAAAACCGTGGTCCTTGCTTTCTAATGGAATGATGCGTGCGTCTAAGTCTTCCAGCAATAGCTCAATGAAGCCCCTACTAAAGCGATTACATGAGGCAATGGATCATGAGACGTTGCAACACGGCCTCCACTTTCTCTGCTGTTGCGAAGTTTTATAAGCGTAAACGCCTCGCCAACCCGTCCCACACACATCGATTGAAATGTCGTGTCTCTTGCATCCTCTCGACCAAAAAAACCTAAAGGTGACTGCACGGAAATCACAGGAGACACGAAGCAGACAGACGCTACTCTGATGTATGAAAGTTGGGAAAGTATTGGTAATTAGGACCACAATTCGACAACGTGCACCACAGTAAAAGTTATTGAAGCATTACCGATGGATGGGCTGTGCGCGGTTATCCATTTTCAGTCAGGGAAGACACATATGGGGAGCTCAAGATTTCTAAAATACGACAATTAGCTGAAAATGTCGTTGGTTAGCTACGTTCTAAGGTGGATTATAAACCACCTGCACCACGGTGATTACAAACTTTTCTTGGCTTCATTATCCGATCCGTGGTGTAGACTAACGATTGCTGTTTCGGAAATGGAATCCTGTGATGCAATTTTCTCGCACTTGCGACTAGCTGCCTTAATTGCAATTTTTACCGATGGAAGGCAATATTTGACAATCTAGTACCTATATTTATTTTAAAAAATTGTCAAAAAGTGTAAAAAATTAATCAGATAAGTTGGGGTGGCATCCACTAAGAGGAATCACGAGCATTAAAAACATGACAGACAAGTGACAGAGGAACGTGATTAACCATACGAGCAACACCCAACACAGAGGAACAGCAAAAAATCGGGAAAAACGTGAGTTTTGAAAACCTGATGTGAGGCTAATGACGAAACTACTTGTGGAGGACAGAGACGGAATATTTTGGACATTCGGGAGCATCATCATCTAAGGTGTAGGTAAATTTTAACCTGAATTTTCAATTGAATTTTAGGGACATTATGCATCATAATTCTGCCTTCCAGCATGGGAAAACGCATTGTGGCAAAATTTAAATATCTGGCGGTACGTTGCATCTGCTGCTTAAGGGCAACAGAGACTGGGTTTGGTGTTTTTGGTTTAAAGTTATAGCAATGCTGTATGGGGGTGCGTTAGGCATTAGCAAACCAGGAAATTACGCCGCATACAAGGGTATACTTCTTGCCTCTTTTAGCACATCGTGGCTGTAAGTAAAGGAAGACAGCGATGATGCACCCAAGCAGAATTTGGAGGATTCCAATGGCCAAGCAGAGCCACGAGACGGCGTAGTAGACGTTCAACACCGGGCAGTTCCAGTAGAGGTTACTGAAGCTACAAGCACTTCCGACAACGAGGAGCAGGCCCATCACTATGAGGCTCGCCACAAACACAATCTGGCTGTAGAGTACGCAGCGAACACGGGCGGTGGTCGACTGGAAGATCATGGCGTCTCTACAAAGAGTTTGAAAGACAACAACTTCCCTCTTAGTTGGCAAAAAGTAACCGCAAGGTGGTATTCTAACGTTTTCAGGATGGGTTAAAGAAACACTGGTAGGAGGAAAAGCACATGCGCATTAAAGCGAAACTTTCTATCTTGGTGTTGGCAATTGTTTCTAGGGATGACTATTACTATATAGAGTTTTATAAGTTTCATTCGCTTTAAAGTATAAGCCTATTCAATGTTGCAAATGAGAAGACTGTTTGACGAACAGGAATCAACGGCAATTGATAAAGACTTCCCAAGCCTCAAAATAATGCAGTGATAGAGTAATTGTCGTTGTACTTCTGAGTATTGTTTGCTAGTGTTGTGAGATTGCGATTACTTAACATTAGCCCAAAACAAACTTCCACATAAGCTGAAGGGTAGGAATCAAAGCAAGGAGCATCATTGTTCCATGATGAAGCAATGTTTTGAGGATGGTATTTTCCATCAGAAAATAAGCCCAACCAGCGCAAAGTAAAGAAATTAAAGCACAAAATCTCTAATGATTAGTATTGTTTGGTTAAAAGTTTTTTCGATGTTTCTGATCCTCTTCAATTTTCGTGTGCAAAAACGACTTGACACGGGCGAGTCTTAATATTGCAGTATGTGGTGCATGAACCCACAAACCCAGATCCATCAACGATTTTGTAATGAGAGTAAACACGCATGACAGCAACGATGACATAACAGAGTAGATTGCACACAACCTCTCCGATTAAGTCAAAATCAAATTCAATAGAATAATTAAACGACAAGTGAACGCGCTGACCACAAACTCGGTAAAATTTAAAAATAATAATATTAGAAAACTGTCACTAATGTGATCAAATTACGGCGAAAATAGGTTATCGAATAATTAACCCTAAAATGTATAGTAAAAGGCTCAACTCAGAATTCAAGAGGACAAAGTCAATTATATGAGGATCAATCACTAATGCTAAAGAATCCTGGCATCTCAAAGTCTGATAGACACAAAGCAACGCTAAAAAAATATACGTAACGCACTTACTAAAGTGTCGTCAATGATGACTTCATTTTTAGATGGGAACCTAACCAATATCTAACACAAAATCTAACCAGTCAAAATTGGGAGTGAGCAGAGGTGAAAATCAACGGTAATTTACAGAATGCTTGTTTATTTCGTGCAACCATGATTCCCCTAGAAATCAAGCACAATATCGTTTCATACCCAAAAGCACTTTAATATGCTATTATTCGGGCCTAATTAAGCATTAGGGAATCAAAGACGGTGGAACCTCAACCTTCAGCTGAACTAAGCAGATCGTTTTCGTGTTTTTTTATTTAAATAATTCAAGAATTAGTGATGCTTACGTAGAAATCCACGGTCACAAAATACCCTTAAGTAAAGGAAATAGGTAAGGCTATCGAGCTGGAGACAGTCAAACGGTGCAGTATTTCTTAATTAGTATTATGGAAACATTTGAAACGACAAAAAATTTCTGAACGAGGATTCTTACAATAAAAACCTTCTAATCAAATATTGGTAATAGACAAAATTAAACACTAGAACCTAAACTTCGAGACTTCGACACAAGTTTAAAATGCCAACAGTTAATGTCAAATATTAATCAAAGGGCGATGAAAACACATTTAAAAACAGTTCAGGCGGTGAGTTATACAACGAAGTGCGATATAATAAGCTATTTGAAGTTCAAGCAAACCAGACATTCAGCGTCATCAACACAAGTGTGAACACGAGTGAAAAACAGATAAGTGCCACAGGAGAACAAAGAAGAGCGTAGCACGCAATAAAAAGACAAAACCGAAAGGCAAAGTTAATAATATAATGTTCAGATCAGGGCCATGAAAACCTTTTCGTTGACGTCCCGTGTGACCATAAACATTGCAGGAACCACGCAAAATTGACAGGGTGCGTTTTAAGGAAAAATAAATATGTGTTTGGAAATGTACTGGAGCAAACTGGATGAAAACGCATGAGAATAAAAAACGAAAGTCGGAGTTCACAAAGAAGAAAAGAAAAAATAAAAAAGATGGATAAATAAGTCGCAATATCACAGAAGTACACTTTAACAGAGCATGATGGAAAAGACAGGGACTGGTTGCTTTTAACTAATTAAATCGGAACCACCAAGCCACCCTTATTTATGCAAAACTTCATAAAACACATGTTAAACGCGAAAAAATATAGCGCCTTCTACAAGGAAAACTAATGACATTAACATTGGGGGGGAAAACGTGCACATTTTGAGCATAATATGCGTCATTTATTTTGATATACTAAACTTGACAACGCATTTGCAAAGAGGTCAATATTAATGCCTTTAGCATGGTTGAAAAATGTCAGAATTATATTTTAAAAATTCTTAAAAGATTACATTAAGTAAACAATTTTGCTACAACAAATCATAATAACTTCACTACCTAATGCGCAAACAATAATTACGCAACCACCATACCTAATATTGGCAGATGACCTTTAGTTCACGACTAATGCCCCAAATGAAGTGTAATCTCATCTCCAAAATTTTAAAATAGCGGAAACACGAAATATATGAACGAACCGCTTTGAAGGTTGTAAGGTCGAGCGAAAGGGTTATCAGAGCATACAAACACGTAACGTTACAATTTTCGTAAATTTGTACTTGGAAAGGTTTGTCTTTAAAAATGCCAACCTATTGTTTTATGTAAAATGCGTTTGTGCAGCACATTTTTTATATTTATTTAATCTTGAGGTCGTGCGAAAAATTGGAAATATTGAGCTAATTTTTCCCAAAAATTTAAATTTCCTCAATGCATAAAACTGGCATTTAGACTCCCTATTATACTACATTCGGTGAGGTAAAATTTTTATTTTATTAAGTATGGCAGGCAAGATTTAGCTGTTATTTATTTAACCCTTTCGGCCCGAAAACTAATCTCCAATGCATAATTTCAGCAATACTTGTTGACATTTTGCATTCTAGTTTTTTAATCCTTATAAGCTTCTTGTTTAAATTGCATTACATTTTCTGTTTGCCGAACGTTGATTAACCAAACTGTAAGTCTGCCCTATTTCAGCTATCATGTCAGCAATTACTGTCACTAAAATTTATGAAAGTGAGTTTTAATTATGACTGCAAAATTTGAGTATCGATTCCGATACGATTTTGTTCGATTGTGACCCAGACACCATATCTTTTTAAGTAACATCAATCATGTTTATTTAATCGAAAAATTGCTAAAATATACTCTCCCAAGAATGGAAGTTGGTTTTGGTTTTACTCTTACGTGAAATAATAAATATTCTTAGTAGCTATATTATTTTGAAATTCTCACCTCGGCCATGTTTGTTAACATGTCCTCTGCTTAAACGAAATATAACTTATTTTCAATTATTACTTTGGTAGAATATTAGATTTCATTTACGAAAGCTTGGCTCTTAACATTTTTCTAGGGTTGCGATTGGTGCTTGCTGTGTGTACCCCCAATAGATTTTGTTTTTGACCAACTCATAAACTTGGTCAGTTATTCTTATTTGTCCTTCAAATTATTTCGACGGTCTTCTTTGGGAATTTTATTTTGGTTTGGAGTAACTCTTTCTTTGAAAATTAAATGCGTTTTTATCTTTTGAAAGACTTTGATAGCGTAATTTAATTTGCCCACGTTCCTCCTTGGTTAATTTTCCACACATTTTATCTTCCACATAGACGTACCTAATATTTTGGCTACCTACAAATAAATGAGCAGATTTGCTGTGTAGGTAATAGTATGCTATTTGCAAATGTACAGTATTTAAGCAGTCTAAAGCGATTCAGCGATGCATGATCAAACTCACAAACCCTATCAGATAAAAAACAGAGGCAATACGGCAGGTTCAAAACTTCGACTTTCAATAGTCTAAATCTGCATTACACAGGTACTTCTCATTTATAGTTATCTATGGGTGGCTGATGACCTATTCTATGGGTGGTTTGGCCAAGTCCATTTCACTTTAAGCAGTAAGATTGCGTCATATAAAAAAGCAAAATTCATAGGTGAAGTGCATCGACAGCCATACTAGTTCAAGGCTCCAGCACTACCTGATGACTAAATTATCGCACATGGCGGTTAACATATCACCGTGATTTTCGACACGGCGACCTCAGAAAAAGCTGCAACTTATAAGATGTTCCTCGAAATTTCAATATGTGTTGAGAACTAGGTTAGGACTTTTTATGGAAACTTACAGATATCTAGCCAAGAATATTTCGCCTTAATATATATTTTGACAAAACAGCCTTACACGCGTGGTCACCGGCGGTGGGACAAATAAGAATGGATTTCGCGTCCGACTAAATCATGATTATTGAAACTGACTGAAACCAATTATCATCTCAGAAACGCACAAGATTCTCTGAGCATATTGTTATGGAATGTGCCCGATTCCCTGCGAGTTCCGATTTTCGGGTGTAACGGTACGCAGACGCATTAGGGCACTGTTAAGCCGATTTATACGAACAGGACGTCGACTGCTTTGAATGCGGACTATACCTTTCACCAAAGATCAATTAAGTGTAAGCAACAGGTCAAAAGTGGATGACACCACAAACTTTCATTAACAACACGACTTTTTGACTCATTTGGCTTAATTTGGTTGTCAGATCACTCCATAGAGCGCAGTCCTCATGATAACTTCGGCAGTTAAACAGAACACTCAGTTCTTCCAGAACACTTTTATCACATAGATACCCTCAATCAAATTTGCACGGCTGCTAATACCTTACAAAACAGCAAGCCAGAAAGTACGTATCCACAACGCTAATCTTACAGCGCAACCAGAATTTGACAGCTGCGACGGGGCACAACCTTTATTTTGCACGACCTATGTGGAAGAAGAAGGGTGTCAAGGAGGAAGGGGTGGGGGAGGGAAACCGGTTGGTGGTCCAACAAAGGCTGCACCAGCTGGGGGGGCCACGACAACGCTCATTAGTGGAGGTGGCGGTGGTGGGGGCGCGGCTGGCGGCAACCAAGGCGGCCCCCCTGGCGGGGCGTGACCGCTCAGAACTCCCGGAAGCGGTGGTGTTGGTAAAGGATGGTGTAGCTAAATGCAGGTACACACAAATTACAAAAGATAAATTCAGCATTCAAAGCGATTTCGGTGGAAAAGAGGAGAACTACAAAATGAACAGATAAGAAAGAACGTAGGAACACCGATTATTAGGATGTATGCGATTTCAATTCCGGCTTTTAAAGCACTTAATATTCCTCAGGCAGCATTCCAGACATGGAAACAATCATGCAGGGCTGAGCAGTCTTATTTTAAAAGTCATCGTCATCGGCGTTTGGCCATTTCATTTCACTTCGGCAAGATCAATAACTCACCGGCAAGCTCGGGGCCACGTTGGGAGGTGGTGGGGGAGGCGGCGGAAGGGGAGGTGGGTTCACCAGGGACGGCGCCGAAGCGATTGGTGGGAACCCTTGGGGAAATCCGGGAGGGGGTATAGCGCGAGTGAAAGGAGTTCCCGTCTGCGTCACACTTTGACCCCAGGGCACGGCCGTAGCAGCGGCCATTGAGGTGGTGCTAGAACCGGAGCTCTTCGATGCAACTTTGGGGGTTTGAGCTTCAACGAAAAAAAAACTTGTACGATTGGAGAGAGGTGTACTTACAATGAGGTAAAGTTTTAAAACGAAATGCACGGCTTTGCAATCATATCAGATGGCTTTGTGAGAACCTGAATGCCTAAATAGAGGCAAAACCAAACAGCGTGCGTCAGCCTTCTTAAGGGGGCAAAATGCGACCGATAGATGGCCAAGGCTCACCACATAGACTTGTAAACCACAAAAAGGTGTTGGGCGAAAATCATTAACCAATACAATGCAGAGCTTAAATTAGTGATAAAAATTGATCAGATTCACGATCGCGAATAAGCCTCGACTCATAATCACAGGACTAACCAGTTTCCGAAGGCACTGCAAAAGGGTTTTATCGAGTCCAAAATGAGTTGCCACAGGTAAAAGGGCCTAACACCTCAAGGGGAACCCAACTAACCCTCAGCCATCTTCTTTTGTGGGACTGGAGGAGGTGGGGGTGGAGACTGGCGTTGCCGAGGCGAGGACGTTGAAGACAGGACAGCAGAAGGCCGCTTTGAGCCTGTTTTGGGCTGGACTGTCGCGGTCTCGTTCGCGCTGCCCTTCGAACCGTCCGAGTAAATATCCAAGATCTTGTGACATATATCCTCCATCACCTGGAAAAAAAACAAGGAGCTGAAAGAGTTTTGTAACAAATGAGCAGTTCAGGAACTCGGAAATCCCGATGAAAATTTTGGCAAAATACCTGAAGCTCGAGTGCAGCAAATACAATGCAAAAAATTAACAGTTAATGAAAAGAGAGAAGAAAATCTGGAATACAATTCTCGTTGAACACGTTTTGTTCGTAAGGAGAACATTAGAATACGTTCAATAACTCAATGGCCTAAGGGTCTGACGCCGACCCAAATTGATGTAGCGTGTCGGAAATTGTGAAAGTTGATGCCGCATTACCGAATAAATCGTGAGGCTAATCAAAGGAATCTTCACCGTTGGTTTTCAAACAAGCGCAGAATTCCAGGATCCACGCGTATACCCGAATCGTATTTATTGTAAAGACGGCTGTTGCATGGTGACACATCGACAAACCCGAATTCAGAAGTGGTAGAATCGGAGCACCCTACCTCGACAGACATGCCCTCGACGAAACACTCCCACCAGCACTGGCCGGGTCGGCGCCCCTCCCAGTCCGTAACCGGCCAGGTCTTCATGCGCGTTGCGAGGTAGAGCACGGCGCAGGCGACAATTTCCGGCTCCCATTGCAGGCAGAGCGTGGTCTCGAGGCTGTCGTTTATGAACGACCAGGCCATCTGGACAATCTCCTTGATCTTCTCCGAGTCGCCTAAAACGTTACCAATAGAACTGCCCCGATAATGTGGATTTCCACAAACGTTCGTCTACATGGGTGAAATTTTACTAACTCAGCATATTGAATTAGTTGAATCACTTATTTGGAGTAAAAGCTGTTGACGAAACCGCCGCCCTAGAAATGCACGGTCCGAAAAGCCACATTATGTTGCAATAATAGGACACAAACGGGTAAATAAATAGGGTGGGAGGATTCTTGACTCACCTTTCAATCGTTTAGCGTACTGCAGAAGAAAAGTGTAGGGATGGGAAACCTGGAGATCAAATTTGATCGTCTTCAGCAAGACTCGCTCATACATCATCATTTCTTCCTTAAAACAGAAAAGAGAGATTTGACTTTATGAAGTTTGTGTGAGGACAAATCAAAGTTGCTACTTGGCGACTCTGATCCCAGTCTCAAGCGCCAGGGTGGCGGTAAGATTGCCCGATCAGTGGTTTCTCGATAGGATCTCAAAATCTAGACATCTGGTCAACTTATGTCTAAGCTCGTGAGTTTGCTGTAAACACTATACTTATCGCCAGTCTCGTCGTGAAGAAAAAAACAATGAAAACAAATTTTTCTGGGATGCTTTACGGTGTAAGAGCGACCAACCTGAAAATTTGGATTTTTCGCGATGAATCTTCAAAACAAATACATGACTATCTTATTTGGGAACATGAATCCGGAACTACAACGGAACGAAAGAAATATTACCTTGCACAAATTTCAGGTTAGAGTGGACGAAGACTTTTTCAGCGTTTACTACAACTGCTCTAGACAAGTAATCGGTTCTGTAGAGCATGAAACCTGCTTAAATTCATACTAAAACAATGACCTATGCATCAAGACGATATAGTGGAATGCGTGAGAAGCAATGAATGCTGACGAACTTCCCAATGAATGGATGAGATGTTCACACCAAGTGCCGATACTATCTTTGGGACTTCAAACAGTCTTCCTCGGTTATCACATGGTGTGAAGAAGTTGAAAAGACGATTGTTGCCAAAATGGCAAGTTAACTTACTCTAGGGTCACTGCCGAACGTTGCAAAAATCTCGGGTGGCAGCAGTTCCCGAGCAGTGCGAATTATATCACGACATTTCTTGGGAGTTTCCTCAACTTTTCCTGCGAGCATCAGGCAACACGCAGCAGTTAACTGAGGTGAAAAAAAAGTCAGTTAGACAAAAGTAGAATCAATGATTGGTAAGGACTCTCGAAAACTTATTAACCGCTTAATGCTAGGTTAAATATCTTGAAATGCGCAACACGTGAAAAGGTTGGTTCGTAAACAGGACGAGTGAATGTGAGCCAAGTGCAAACACTTCACCTTTACCCATTTCTCTGCCAACATCAGCAGGATGCATACTACGTAACTTCAAAACAAGAAAAAACGAAAGTGAAACGTACATGACGCGGAAAGGCCTTGAAAGAATGACACATGTAAAAGCGGTGAAAAAATACGATTGCCGTGGCCCACGTATCGTATCGAAGGTGCAGCCTGTTACTAAGATCGAGAATAAACCGTGCACCTTCTCTTCGGTAGCGAGTTTCGGTTTCCTGGTCAACTCCATCCAAAAAAGAGGGTGTACGGATGAGTTCCTCCTTTTCGTAGTACCAACATGGCATCTAATGCAAGGAATTGAGAAATTAGGGAACCTGTGACGTTTTCGACTTATGTGTCTCGACTTTAACGTAAACAAATTATAAAACCTACTAATTCAGGAAATTTTAACATGTCTGTGATATTAAAATCAACGCTATACTTATACTTTCTCCAACACTTTCAAAATACATGGAATAGACTTAGTCTTATAAAACGTAGAAAATCTGTGATGCCGAGCAAGAGCGCTACGCGAAATGCCGGTAACTTCAGCAAGAAAAAGAAACGCCTGGATAAGAATGATTGTTGCAAAAGTGCAAAATAACACACGCGAGACTGACATATAGAAAGCACATTTAGAATAGCCCTAAAAGAACTCTGCTTTGACTAGGAACATATTCACATAACCGTAGCCAAGATCTGAAACTGCGATCATTACGTTTTTGACTACTATTGTTCGGTATGCGGCCAAACCAATCTTGACTTACGTGATGCTCCATCGCAGTAAAAGAGATACAACAGTCAAGTCCAGAATTGAGACGATTGGCGTACCTACGCGACCTAGAGGCAGCCTGTGGTGTGGCTGCGGTATGATGTGGTGTGGTGTGGCGTCGGATCAGGGCGCAGACATGTTGGACCACCTGGCCTCAGCCAATCCCGTGTCTCTCTGCGAT